GGAAAGAGCTACAGCTGTGAAGTTACATTATTGATCGGTTTAAGTATATGCACATCCAGGCTGATCTATTCAAATAATCTTGTGCTTTTAAGTATTGATAATAATTATTAATTTCATCACAGGAGAATCTGATCAAATGAGCCACACCAAAATACATTGAGTGCATCTGACTGGATGCTGGGTATTGTTTATTTCAAATCTGATACTGTTTTGCTGAAACCATGGTTTACTTACTAGGCCTGCGTGAATAGGGAAGTATTTGATTCGGATTTGGCTGATTCAGAAAACAGTGATTCGGAGATTCAGATCACTGTCCCGAATCAATTCGGCTGAATCGGCTTCAGAAGATTTGGCATCAATTCAGAGATTCGGCCATAGACTATAATGGGGAATCACTGAAATATCTATAACTTTGTCGTTTTTTGTCTTATTCAGATAATAATTGCTGGGATGGTAGCTCCTTCTGAGTGCATGAGGCCTGTGAATTTTCAAGGAGATAGGTGCAGGGGTTTATGGGAAACTGCACCTCAAACTGCTGACAAGCAGAACTTGTATCATGTCTGTTAGTTAAGGCACAGTGAGGTGAAAACTGCAGGGATGGTAGCCTATGCTGAGGCCATGGAGCCTGCCAGCTTTCAAGGAGCTACATGTAGGGGGTTCTGGGAAACTGCACCTCAGGCTGCTGACAAGCAAAACTCGTGACATGGGTGACACTGTGTGCGTGCTAAGGTGCGCTGTCACTGGTGCTGGGGCCTGTACACGACACGGTAGTGTACCCCAGTGAGGTCTCCTGCTCCCCTACAGCCTCATTCTGGTCCACCACTTTAAATAACAATAGGTAATAAGCAGTACACTGCAGCACAGTAGCACTAGCATCTCAGGCAGCCAAACTGTCACAGACTAGCGCCTTTCTTTCCTTTCCTACAGAAGCTTCTTCTCCAGCAGCTGCCAGAGAACTCTCCCTGCCAGCCCCAGCCCTGGGGTTTAATGTGCCCAGGGCCCTGTGTCCTTCCGGTCAGCTGACTGGGGACCGGTGCTAGGAATATTGGTCTAAGGGCATGGCACTGGCAGACAAGGTTCTTTGGGTCAATCTGGTATCTTTTAGTAGACCAACTGAATAGTTAGAGAAATATATCTTAGCAAGCTTTCGGGTTGAAAAACCCTTTGTCAGGCTGAGAAAGCACCTGCAGTTGGTGTGTGTGTGCGTGCTGTTCCTGGATGGAAGGACTAGTAAAGAAGCCAGAGGCCGACATGCAATGCAGGCAAGAAAGCCAGTCTGTGAAAATGGAAATGGAGGCGTCGGGGGTGGGTGAGGGACAGGCTGGGATGGGGGAGGAAGAGAGATGTAGCAGCGCAGGTAAAAGTGGAGAGGTGCGTGGGGAGTCAGATGTCTGGCAAGTTGTAGCGTGTCAGAATTCCACTGTCTGTATTGAGTCCATGAGTTTCTGTACCTAGGAGGCTAAAGAAGTGAAGTTCATAGGCCCAGCTGAGGAAAGCGGTTTGTAAATTCAAACAAGCACCGAACCTTGCTAACCTAATCTCATCACCAGAAGCCAACTTCTTACAGCTCAAAACATAAAACCTGCCAACAATCTCCAGTACCCCCACAGACTGTGCACCAGAATCTATCAAAGATATACCCAACTACCTGTGGGGGCACATTTCTTACAAAAAAACCCCGCTCTATCTCCAGTTTCTCAGGCCTGATCCTGAGAGGGAATTTACAAACCCTCTCCACTTTTACCTACACTGCTACATCCCTCTCCCCCCACTCTTACCCCAGCCTGGCCCTCACCTCTGATGCCTCCATTTCCATTTTCACTGACTGGCTTTCTTGCCTGCATTGCATGTGAGCCTCTGGCTTCTTTACTATTCCTTCCATCCAAGAACAGCACACACACACACACCAGCTGCAGATGCTCCCTCAGCCTGACCAAAGGTTTTTCAACTCGAAAGCTGGCATGCCAGGCAGCTAAGCTGAGCTCATTTGGAGCCTCACAACTCCACTGCAACCAGCACGCCTCAGGCCTGTCCAAGACATGACAGATCTGGGCTCTTCCCAGCCAGGACTGTGCATGTGTGTGGTAGCTGGAGTTTATGGCACCTCCTACCTGCCTTTCACCAGGGGGATCCTTGGTCCTGGCATTCCCGGGGGCTGCCACGCCGCCAGCAGTCCCACCAGGCCTCCCCAACCCTGGCAGAGTGCAGTTTTAGTGGTCATGCCCAGGATCTGGGGCCTCCTCCATCCCCATAGCCTCAGCCCATACCTCAGAGTTTGTCTTGGCACAGAAGCTCAGCAGGGACATGTTCTTCGCCTGCTGGCTGGTGATGCAGTGAGTGCCCCCTCCAGCTCAGAGTGGGACATTAACTGGTGTAAAAAAATAAAACTGAAATAGATGCAGACAGAGTGCGGAGGGTGGCAGTCACTCTGTCTGCAGGAAGAGCTTGGGGAACCCCAGCAGCGGGGGGTTCACCTTCAGGAACACCAGCTGCTCCACCAAACCAGGATTCAAGCAGGTGCGGTGAGGTGTCATAACATCCCCAGCAATGCTGAACACCTTCCCACGTGAAACACTGGTTGGTGGACAGGACAAGTGTTCCTAGGCAGCCGTGGCCAGATCCTGCCACACCTGGCTATGGCTTGCTCAGTAGGCCAAGGGGTCGCAGTCCAGCGGCTCCACATCCTTGGTGAGATAGGTAGCCACCAAAGCCTCAGTGCTACCTGCCTGAGGCTGGGGTCTGGTGCATCTGGACTCCAACATTGAAGCCATGCCCTTGGCCCACATTGGCAGTGGCTGGCGTGAAGGAGACTGGCTGGTGCTGGTTCAGGGAGTGCTGTCACAGGAAAGTGGATCCCCCTCTTCCACATCCCCTTGCCTCTGCCATTCTGCCTCCCTGACTGTTGACCAGCGCCTGCATCCAGTGATTGAGGGTTTTGGTGCTGCCAGTGCACATGCTCCCTTTCAGCCAGCACGTGGTCCGTACTGGACCGCAAGGGATCCAGCCGTCTCCTGATGCCCTCCTTCAGCCACCTCACCAGTGCCTGCACATCTGATGACAGCAGCTTGCCCCAGTGAGGAACATTGATCCCCTGGAACTTCTCCATCTGGTCTCAAGTTCCCTCACTACGGGGATCACCTGGCTAAGGAGGGCATCAGCAGTGCTGAGGGTCTTGGTGGCCTCAAGGAATATATGTCGTCGTCTTCTTCTCTGATGTATGACTGTGTCTGACATTTTCTGTGTTGTGTTTACTGTTGTGTGTGTACCTAAAATAATATCTCTTCCTCTTCTTCCTCCTCTTCTTCCTCTTCGACCGAGTATCTGACTTTTGTGTTATGCTATTCTAAATCTATATCTGACTTCTTCTGTGTTGTCTTTAGTCTGTATATAACTAACTATAACTAAAAATATTAATAAGCATATATAATCTCTTCTCTTCTTCTTCTATGAATGTCTGACTTCTTCTGTGTTGTAATAATAGATTCATATAGATGTTAGGGTTGGAAGGGACCTCAATAGATCATCGAGTCCATCTGACTTCTTCTATGATGTATGTGTGTGAGTGTGTGTATGTGCTCCCCTGCACAGTGATGGATCACACTGCCAGGGAAAACAGCTTTCTTTTTAAAAAGTGTTGAAACCCCCCCACCAAGAGCAAATATAAATTGAAAGAAATGGATTGGATAGGAATAAGTAGGGGGATTCTAGTTAGTAAGCTACATCCAGTCCTTTCGAAGAACAGAAAGTAGCAGGAGACTGACCAGGTAGGAAGCCAAGCCAGTCCAGTACCTTTCAGATGCTGTTGCTCTGGCAGAAACAGCTCACAAAAGGCACAGAAACCCTGAAGACAGAGGCTTATGTGCTGTTTCTGCGTCCCTCCCCCAGAGCACTGGGATTGGAAGGGGAGTCAGGGAAAGATCTCAGTCACTGGCCAGCTGGAGATGTCAGTTCCCCCCCTACTCCCCCTCCCTCTTCTCAGATTCTGTTTCTCTGAAAGACTGCCTTCCAAATCTCCGAATCGATTCGGAGCCTCTGAATCGATTCAGAGGTTTTTTGTCGTCTTCTGATTCTATTCAGATTTGGTGATTTGGCCTCCGAATCAGGCCAAATCTTCTCTGAATCAAATTGCAGACCGAAGCTTTGCACATCCCTATTACTTACTACTCACTTTCAGGTTATGCATACTAAACTTTTCCTATTCTGGAGTGTTTGTTGCTTGTGGGGCTGAATGTACTGTGGATGTAGCATACTCTTTTCATGGAAATGAGAGGTTTGTTGCTTAACAGTAACAGTCTAGTAGATTCAAGAGTATTAGTGACTGATTTTTGCAGTGGTCTTCCTCTACAGTCAAAATGCTGGCCGTGACACATGCATGGTCTGGATGATGCTGGAACAAAGCACACAGTAGTGTGTAAAATGATATTGCTAAACCTTTATCTTGAACACTATATGTAAATCACAGTAACGTTCTAGATCTGACTACTAGTGTGCATGGCTAAAATTACTAAGCAGAGATTAATTCCCCTTTCTTTGTAGGAAAAACAGCATCACAAAGGATTTTCACAGCATATAAATGTGCAAAGTGTATATTCTCTGTGATTAAAACAGAGTCACTGCATGCATTCTTCACTTGTCAACTATATCTTTTTTTCATCATAGAGCTCTAGACTGGCATTAGCATAACTCAGCTATGTATATTGTAAATCAGAAGGCTGGATTCCGCTTTTAGATGCACAAACATATATCCATTGTTATCCTTCCAATTCAGAGGAATTAATATAGGGTAACGGGGGGTAGAATTTAACTCTTAATAAGTAGGAAAATACAAAAACCATTAGACCATTCTATTTTCCCTTTCAAATATAGAATTATGTGATCTTTTCAATGTATCCTTGGGTGGGGAGGAGGAGAATATGCAATGAACAAAGAATTTTACTTGGGATTTTTGTATTGAGCCTGTGTTCCTCAGGATGGCCTTTCTGATTAACTTGGTGCATCTCTGCTTATGCAACAACTTTTTTCTCTGGGCCAGCCAGTGTACCTATTGCAGATAAGTAGGTGCATTAATATATGAAAGCTAAATTGTTACATTTGCTTCTAATATAAAGAGCTGCTGTTCTGTTTAATTAGTATCTGATACCCATGTATTTCAATAGATTTTTCTCTTGTTGTCTCTTTTTATGCCTTTTAAGTCTGTGAATGCCATCTGAATGGTTCACTTTCCAGCATTTGCCATCATGAGACTGGCTTCTGTTACTGCAAACCAAATGTGACTGGACAAAGATGTGATAAATGCTTGGTAAGAAAAGAGTTCACCTATAGCTAATATGTATATTTTCCAGTATCAGTTTCTGTCCATTCAGTGACATCACCATTTCATGGTGAAGACAAAAAGAATTTCTGAGTTAAGTGTGTAGTGAGTAATGTTATACTCCTCTTTTTCAAAGACTCCTGGGGATTTTAATTCACAACTTAGAGCATGGGGAGTATATCAGAGACAGTAAATGGATAATATTTGGGATTCCTTTACCTTCCTGCTATTGCCAAACAAAACCTGCAAATATTCATGCAGGCCAAATGGCAGTAGATAATACAAAGTAATAAAAAGAAAATGAGAGAATATTTTTCACTTTCAGTGAGATATGAAATTTAATTGAAACATGTTTCCTTCCTGTCCAACAGAATGGTTATTATGGCTTGAATACTGGACTTGGCTGCCTTCCTTGCGGTTGTAGTCAATCTGGATCAGTCTCTGAGGATTGTAATGACGAGGGCCAGTGTCACTGTGTACTAGGAGTGGCTGGGGAAAAGTGTGATCGCTGTGCTCAGGGCTTCCATACATTCCAGGATGGTGGTTGTACACGTAAGCTCTCATCTATGTTCCACTCTGGGAATTTCTTTTGACAAAGGATTTTATGTTACACTTCGTATGTTACTTACTCTTCCGGAAACATCAGTTGTTTGAAGAAATATTCTCAAAACCTTGCCAGTAGAACAGTCCCCCAGTACGTCTGCTAGGAAATGTTTTTTAAAACTCCTTGATTTTTTTTTTTTTTATGGTCTGGTTCTTTGTAAAAAATGATGACAGGAAATATCAGGAGATTATAAAAATGTTACAGTATAAATGTTCAGTTTTAAAATAGCAGTAATCTTGCCAAAAATCTCTCCATTCCAACAAAGAATATAGAAAGCAATTATTTCCTTTCTTCCCTCTGCCACAATGTAAAATCTAATAAATTAACTCTGTAGATTTGAGCCTGTATTTTTCTTTTTCTCTTTTTCCCCCCTGCAATTCATGTGCTTTTGAGTTTGACAAGACATATAAAGGATTAAATTTACACATCTGGTTATAATCCAGTTTTGAGCCATAGTATGATGTTATGTTAGTCCAAACCTGAACAAATCCCATTTAAATAAATGGAAGATCATATTAAAATATCTATTTCAACACACCATAACCAAAGGAATGCCTACATGTCTCTTATCTGACTGAAAACATTTCCTTTGGGTCTTACAAAACACTGGTGTAATATGCCATGAGATTGTGTGATGAGAAAAAATACGTTTGTGCATATTTTAGGAATTAAAACCAGGACTGTTAAAGGGATCTAGCTTTCTTAGGTGACTGCAAATTCCAGCCCTTAATCTGGCCATCAGCTCATATACCAAAGGAATCTGACCAATTTTTTAGATGTTTCTGGAGGCATTTGTAGAGTGTTTTTCATCATTACGTCTGAGCAGTTAGGCCTATAAAGGTAAAAAAAAAATGGAGTAAAAGCTTCCATGTAAAGGTTGTCATTTCCATTCAATCATCAATGAAATTGTTTTGACTATATCGTATGTATACATCAAGCAGAATATAAATTTGATGTGAAAGAATGCCTACATGTCTAAGAAAGCTGCTGAATCTAAAAAATACAGGGAAAAGACAGTCCTGTTCAAACTGAAATAAACATTTCTGTTTTATTTTGCAAAAAATGGGAAATATTTTTAGGTCAACCTAAAGCATTGTGTTCCACCCAAAATAAGTGTTTTGTGTGTTTTTGGTGAACAGGTAGGTTATTTAGCCCTCTTCTATCCATTTTCTTTCTTTTACATTTAGGTCCATTTTAGAATATAAGTTTTCTGTTTGCAAGGACAGGTCAGAACATTTTGTTTAGAAAATGATCTGAAGATGTCAAAATGCAGTATTTCCCTATTTAAAGATACCCTCCTTTTTTAGGGAAATATATTTATCCATTTGCCTTTTGTTGGTGAATTTAGGGTGAATGCAAATTTGCAGCATTTTACTGGGTCTTTATCTCCAAGGGAGGCTGGAGGGGCTTAGGGTACAAGACAGTTGCATTCCCTCCATTCAGAACAGCTCAGAGACTACTGCTTCCTATTCTACTGGGGATGCACAGACTCCTAAATGGGTAGAGAGAAGAGCCAGCTATCTCATGAAGCCAAAGAGATAAGCTGTACCATATGATAGATTGTGCCTGACAGGAATAGTTAAACCTATTGAAGACCAAAATTATGTTCACAATTTGTTCCTCAGTTATTCTGGCTGTTAAGGAGCTTCTATTGGAAAGAGTGGCTGGGGATGGATAAATAACGGTGGCTGGTATTGGATAATTCAGGAAAGCAAGGCTGTCAATTCATTTTGATGCTCACCTGTAATCAGAGGGCTCCTACAGATGTGCAGGGAGCCTGCTCTGATGTGCTGGAAATTCAGTGTGTCAGAGCAGACTCGATTAATTGATTCTGCTGGAACATGGAAATCGATGTGCTTCAGCAGCCTTCTGCGTCATGTGTATCAGTGTTCCTGTGTGTTCTCGTGGTGAAAAAATGGTGGTGGAGCGCTTTGAAATAAAACACATTCAATGAGCTTTAGTTCAGAACACCCCAACAGCATTTTTTCAGCATGGGGATGCATTGGGACACTGATGCATATGAAATATGGTCACTTTTAATTAGCATGGCTCGCTAATTAAAGCACTCAGTGCCGCATCGCAGAGCATGTGTAAAAATGCCTAGAGAGCCTAACAATGGGAAAACTAGTCTTATGGTCCAATTTCTCTTGCAGCTTGCAATTGTCCTCATACTCAGAACAACTGTGATGCAGATTCTGGCCAATGTATCTGCCCCCCTCACACAGAAGGACCAAAATGTGAACTCTGTAAGGAAAACTACTGGAGACATGATTCTGAGCTTGGCTGCAAGGTATTGCATGCTTGCTAAAAAGCTACAGTTGTTTAAATGATAATTAGCATTGTCCTGAAGGATTTACCAATAAGTAAATTGGTTGGGATTGGCTGCTCATTGTGTTTGGCTCATTCTTTGTTGCCTGACTTGAAACTTGAGTGGTTACTAGCTGGGTGCTTGGGAGTTTTGAAAAATAGGCGACTAATTATAGTACACACACTGGGTAGCAGTAACGGTCCTATTAATATTTTACAGTGTTTCTTTCTGACTCTAACAAATTATGTGGTTGTTCAGCAATAATTATTGGCAATAAGAAAGTTGATTTATGTGCCGTAGAGTAGCTATAATATTTTGTTCTTAAGACGTATGGAACTTAGGATGTCATTAATGCCATCATACATGTTTTTTACAAATGTTTTAAGAAAATTTGTGTGCTGATTTCTGCTCCCTGTCTGGGGAAAAAAAATCATCCTTAACACTGTGATGATGATGAACTTGAATGGCATAGCTTGCAGGGCTGATCTCAAAGGATTTCAGTCTGTTATCACTCTAGCAATACCCCCTTCTGAACTCCCCAGTAATGTCAGCTAAAATTTTATAATTAAGCAGTACAGTGCCAACTTAGAACAGATTCCAGAGAACTGTAACCAACTGGGAGCCTATTCATTTTTAGACAATTAAACTCAACCAGTAAATTCCTCCCAGAAAAGGCACAGGGCCAGCATTTAGTATAATCATAACATGTCTTCTGGCATTTTACTAATCAAAGTCCAGTTGAACATGCTGTTGTCTCTCTTTTAGGGATTTGCACGGAGAGTCAAACCTGCTGCTATTGTGCAGGGCAGAGTTTATAGCCAGTTTAGCACACAGCTGTACTTGCTTTGATTTCACAGCTCTTTAAATCAGGATTATAATATGTTCTAATAATCTCACAATGAAACCTTCAATTTCATTCATTTGTAATTTTGCTTGGTTCTTTGACAACCAAGCCTTAAATCAGTGTAACATTTGCAGCAAACATTTCAACATTTTAGTGCTGGTATTGACTGTGTCCCTCTGTGTGCATCCAGCAGGAGGAGAAGTTGAGAGGCATAAATCCTCCTGCATTTTTCCATACGGAAGTGTCACTCCACAGCATAAGCCAAATGGGCCAGTGCATGACTGGTAGAATCACACACACACCAGTTACATGACTCAGCCATGTTCTAGGCTAGGTATATACGTTCAAAAAGCCCAAGGCAGAATCAATCCAAATTACACGGTTCTCTGTAAACAGCATATTTTAGATTATCGGTAGCAAAGAAAACACACATTCACCCTTTGTTTGGGGTGGAGGACAAATCTTAGACCAGGTTCCTCCATTTTTAAACCAGTCGATGTGTGCCAAACTTCTGTTTGGTTATGGGTATAGATTGATCTCCAGGCAATTATGTCAGTAAAAGTGTAATGTCTATACCAGGCCATAGTGACTTTTCATGCTGATATAGTGAAATGTTACATGTTCATAGAAAGGCCATGCATTCAGTTTAGCTAAACCTTTAGCCATATTTTTTTTCTTTACCATATCATCACATTGCAATTTGTGTGGGGTTACTTACATTATGAAAACTTATTTGAAAGTTTCTCCTTGCCATCAAACAGTGTACTCAGGGCTCAATCCTCAGCCACCGGGCAAGAAAAAGATATGGTGCACTCCATGCACTCCTTCCTGCTTTTCATCATCTCTGGTACGTCCTCTACGTGACCTCTGGAAGAAGTGGGAGTGCAAGTATGGTACAGCCAGCTATTCTGGCTTTGCAACACCCCAGGAGTCCCCACTGGTAACAGGATTCTTCATTTGCCCCTTACACTGGGCACCTTTGCAGTGCTCAGCAGCATGAAACAGCCAGAATGGATTGTAATCAACTTATATGACTAGTGTGTTTCACCTTGGCAGATGTTACAGCAGAGTTAATTATTCCTTAAAGTGTTTTTTCTTATCTTTTTAAATGCAGGTAAATGTTGAAGTGAATTCAAATTGTCAACTGCATTTAACATACATTAAGATGCAGTTAAAATTCAACACTACCATATAGTGTTAAGGAAATACCAATTTGTTCTGTAAAAAGAAAACACAAATCACCTCCTTCTGTTAGGAATCTACGCTTCACTGTTGCATAGAAACTTTTGACAAATGTTGGAGTTTTTTTGTTTTTTTGTGTGTGTGGTTGCAACTGTAAATTGACCTTGCAGTTTCTGTTATAACAAAGTTGTTTCTAAATGGCTGCTATATATGAACTCTGCTTGTTTTCCTTTTCAGGCCTGCAATTGCAGTGCTGTTGGTTCAGCCAGTCTCCAGTGTGATTTATTGACTGGTCAGTGCCAATGTAAAAGTGAATTTGGAGGAAAAGACTGCTCCAGGTGTGCTTTAGGCTATAGGGATTACCCAGATTGTGTTTCTTGTGACTGTGAATTGAATGGGACCAAAGCAGACCAGTGTGAAGAGGGTCAAGGAATCTGCACTTGTGAAGAAGAGACTGGCATTTGTGCCTGCAAGGTATAATATTCATAAATAGCAGAAGATCACTTCCGGGTGTGTATATGTGTTCCTTTCATAGAAATGTAGGACTTATGCTTTTGAGTTTACCTAATAGTGCTCTGTGGCAGGATCAAGAATATATAGAACAGGCCCCCTCCCTGCCCCAGGGCAGTGAGGGAGAGGGAGGAGGGGGAAGAGTTCCCCTCTGGGGCTGGGCAGCCCTGTGTGCCAGGAATCCTGGCCATCAGGCAGCCACTGCGGTAGGCCTGTTGGGGCCTGGCCATGCCCCTTGTTTGTTCCACTTCCTGATTCTTTATCAGCTCCTCCCTGTAAATCTGAATTAGACTCTTCCTATTCCCTCATCCACTTCCTGAAAAAAAAATGATCTTCCCACACACTTCAAGAACCTGCTAGACAGACTGGGCCAGATCCTATTCCACTTGTTGGGTGTCTAAGTGGGTTTAGGTGCCTAAGTGTGATTCTAGTCCAACTCTGTTCAAGTCTGAAAATCCATGAATGCATTGATTTTTGTAATGCATCATCACCTTAATCCTTAAGAACAAGTTACGAAAAGAAGAAAGGGGGAGAAGAGGTATCCACTCATCTTTTGCATTAAACAGTTTTTCAGGGATTCAAACTTGGTAGACACTTAAAGTAGAATTATGTGCCTAATAGTTGGACTAGCACCTGGCCCCCTATGTCCTACTGTGTTGTTACCAACAGAGATTTAGTTACTTAAAGTACCTCTTCAGCACCAGGTCCTATCCTACAAATGCTACTGTTTAACCGTTTTAAAAATTGCTTCCTTCTACAGCTCCAGATTTGGTAGCCTATACTAGATGTCCACCATGGCACTGACCTATTTTCTTCCCTTTTTATCTTCTCCCAGACCCTACCCCCATGTTTGCTTTTCATTTCTTTCAGGATTTAAGAGCAACGCATATTTCCTTTTTCCCTGCCTGTCTTCCCTGATCGACCTAGACCCTTATATCAATATTCCAGACCTGTTATTTATCCTGCTAGGACTCTGTGATCCTGAATAAGTTACAGTTTTGTTCCTGGCCAGAGATTTGCTCTTCTCCTCTTTATCTACTCAAGATTGAATAGCTGTTCTTGATCCTGATGGATGAACAGATGGGGAATGGAGCACACAGTAGCCAGCAGCTAGTCTTCTTCCTGCAGAGTAGTCTTTCATGGTACCATTTCAGTCCTCTCTAGCTGCCAAGCTTCCTAAATCCTGGACATCTCTGTATGCATTCTATTAACAAAGTTATCAGTTTTCCCAGATGCTTTGCAGTAAAGCTGTTTCTTTCAACAACTCACTTACCTGCTTCTTGAAAATCTCTACCCACAGGCATTTCTGTCTCTCTTTGTCTGGCTTTGTTTGTCAAGGAAACATAGATAGTTTCCAGCAAGAGAGTATCAGGACTTGGGTGGAAACAGGTGCAGGCAGTGGAAGAGGTAGCAACAGTGCTCATGAGATGCCATTTTTCTTTTAAAGCAGGGGTTGGCAACCTATGACCTGTGGGCTGGATTCAGCTCACAAAGCCATTAGATCTAGCACAAAGAAGTGGAAGACTTCTGTGGCATTCATTGTCAGGGGACTTCATCTGCACTGTGTCACACTGCAGCTGGGCAGCTGGGTACTTCGCCTGTGATATGCCACCAGGTAGTGGGGAGAAGTCATGGCAGGAGTGACAGTGGCAGCTGGGGCCTAGCACTTCAGACCTGAGCTGGGTCATTGCAGCCCACTGCCAGAAAACATTGACAACTACTGCTCTAGAGTGGTTTTTTCCTTCCAGGATCCCTGTAACAGTAATAAGAAACCTAATTTCTCCTGCCTTCTGCTTTGTAGTCCTATACATCTATTTTCAGCTCAAGGTCATCTTGTTTTGTCAGAATCCTACGGTTTTTGATTAAATAAAACTCTTAGATAACTCAAATGAGGATTTTTGTTAGGAATCCAGGATTAGGCCCAGTTGTATGTTCAGTTTTTAAAGGTAGATTCTTGCTATACTGAATCCTTGCTAAGCTTACAAAGATCCATGGTGCATTCAGATAGTCAAAATCCTATGCAATAATATAAAGAAACCAATCATTGTTCTATTTCACAACTACAGTGTAACTGTAATACTGAATTCAAATACATAGACTCGTTTTTCTTTTTATTTATGGCAATATGTGAAGGGCAAATTAATGTGTTTTTTCATTAAAAAAAATTCTATAAAGTGGGTCAAGAAGATTTTTTGTGACCACATTGTTTTTATAGGACACGTAGTACCCTCTGGTCTATAGATGTAAATTATGGTACCGTTGGGTTTTTTATTCCTACTTCATTAATGGGCTTCTCATTATCTTACAGCAGGTAAGGAAATCTAACAGCACAGGATAAAAGATTTGGGAATGGACATTTATAAATATTATGCTTCTGGAAGTTTTGGCATGGATTTCAATAGGACCCACAATGTCATCCCTTATCTTGATTTATCTTTTCAATAGCAAGAACAGTATCATATCATATTTCCAGCATTTAAATGATGCAGTTTCTGTATATTCCATTACGATTTCAGTATCATATCATATGCAGAATTTTAATGATGCTATTTCTATATATTCTATTATTATTTCATGCTTCTTTTTTTCTGCTGGAGGATTTTTGCCTTATAAACAGTGTTAACAACAGCAGCTTTGTCCAATAACTTATAAGAATATTTTTTTCTGTATTTAGAAGGATAATTTCTTTGAGCCTCTCTAAGCGAGAAGCCCAAGAGAGAAACAATTTATTACAGAGAACATTGTTTTGATACCAGTAACAATACAGAAAGTATGTTTTAACTTCAAGGCAGAGAAAGCATTGTTCCCTTCCAAGACAATCTAACAATATTGCGTTACCAATACGAAACCTTCAGAATGCATTACTGTATAGGCATAGAGGTTTCTCAGAGGACAGTTTGTGATAAAAGTGTTTAATAATATATAAGTACAAATTCCATACTTCCTCCATTTTGGCAGACAATTATTGATGCATAAGTGTCGTAGAAGCAGCATATAAAGGACTAAAGCAAAAACATCACTAATTTTAATATACAAATTTGTACTTCTGCATTGTTTTCTGTCCCTCTATATCAAAGCTCTTAATTTATGAATTAAGCATTGCAAACTGCTGGGAGATAGGTACCGTATTATGACCTTGATTATAGGGATGGGGAAAAAACTAACCACACTGAAGTTCTGTTGCTTACAGACAGGAAGGTTTATTAGATTTGGGAATAGAAAAATCTGCTGATTTCCAGCCCAGTTTTATAACAGAATATAAGAAATCATTATAAAGATTGGGAGAAACTGATAAATGCAAATAAATGACTTAAAACCTTGTATATGATGTAGCTTTCAGTTCATCTTAGAACTTTATATATTATTTATTACACAAATATACTGATATTAATTGGTGAGGTCTGTTTTGACGGTCCTGTGTCTAAAACAGTTTGGGGTGCTGCAAGGTGCCACACAGTGTTAACACTCTTAGGTGTACAAACATGATTTCCAAGATATAGGTATCCATAGTATTAAAATCATTCTGACCTGATGTTGTCTTTCTGAATTCTTTGTAACATAAAAATTGCTGTGTTATTTTTCTGTAGTAAAAAAAGAACTGGCATGTTTGGAGGGATGCCTTGAGTCTAACAAGGGTCCCTTGTGCCTAAAAAGCTTGAGAACCACTGATGTAAAACATTAAGTACATTTCTTGCCAAGATGTTCTTGTGTGAAGAGAAAGTTAGGGATATACACTTTCTTAAAAAGTGAACTTCTAAATTTAAAACAAAGAAAAGTATAGAGAAATTGTGAAGTTCTGACCCTTGCCAGTTATTCTACATAGCTATAAGAATAGCTTTTCTACACAGTTTGTACTGCTATAGGTGGCACCATTCAAAAAGGATCCTGTTTTCACTCAACTATCAGAACAATAAAACATAAACATGTAATTTTATTTTAGGAAAATGTCTTTGGATTGCACTGTAGTGAATGCAAGACTGGAACCTTTGCTCTCCAAGCTAGTAACCCTGTAGGATGTACTCCTTGCTTCTGTTTTGGGATGTCAGAATTCTGTTCAGAATTAGAAAACCATGCCAGAATTCCAGTAAGTAAAGCAATTCAAACTTTTGCATACAATTTTCTGGTACACCTCTGTTGTCACACTGGTTTTAATGGCGTTTCATAGCTTTGTTGATAAGAATTGAGTATGGTCTACTGACCTGTTTGCAAAACGTGTGGGAGAGAGTATGGAAAAATGACATTTAAAAGGGTAGTAGTGCATGTGAACATAACCATTCCATTTCTTAAAACACATTCTTCATGTCTGACAAAAAAGTAAAAGATAATTATAAAACAAGTTTCTCTTTTTTTTTAATAAGTATGTTATTTTATTCCTCTAAAACAGCATTTAGTGTGCTGAAGCTGAAACTGCTTCCAGGATATTATGTTTAGCTAGAGTAATATTGTAGAATGTTTCTGTTATTTTTGGTATTGTAGGTAACCCTGACTCCAGATCAGTCCATTCTTCATGTGGTTTCTCAAAGTAATCTCACAGGAACAAAAGAAGGTGTATTTTCGCAGTTTCATGATGTTTTATTGGATGCTGCAACAGTCAGACAGCACTTGAATACAGAACCATTTTACTGGAGATTGCCAGATCAGTTTCAGGGAGACCAAGTAAGTGAATTAAGATAAAAACTGGAATAGTTTATACATTATAACTTTCTCATCTTATCCAGATTACATATTTTTCTGTGTTGAATCCTCTGTTGGAAGTTAAGAACCTTTTTGAACTTGGAGTTGCACTTGCAGCATATACAAATTACCTATTCATATCATACAACTCATAAGATTTTTCTTGTATCTTAAATTTGTGGATACCAATACTTCATCCATGTGTTATTTTTCAGGGACAGTAAAAAGGAAGAAACTTTGTTGAAAAATAACCTGAAAGAGACTTTAACCCTGACATTTAATATAGTCAATAGATTGTACGAATGGTAATGCTTAGAAATTGAATGAAAATGCACTGCACTCCTTGAGAAGACAGAAGCCTTACAGACGCATAATATTGCTTTCTGAAAAAGAGTATTTAATCTTGATGCAAAGATTTCTGATTTTAAGTCTATTTTTAGGTTTTATTGCAAATTCTTCAAAAACTGGCAGTTCTGCAGTCTTTTCATAGGAGTGAAATATTTTCGACCAGTAACCTTGGAAAAAATAAATGTAATACTTTATCATCCAAACAGCTCATGGCTTATGGAGGAAAACTGAAGTACACAGTTGCTTTTTATGCTTTGGATGGCTTTGGCACCTCAAATTTTGAACCACAGATTCTGATAAAGGGAGGTCACACCAGTAAATTAGTCATCTATGTGGATATCCCTGCTCCAGAAAACAGAGTGAGACATCACCAGGAAGTAGAAATAAAAGAGGTGAGCTTAGATATTTGAATGGGAGAGGGGAAATAAGGCTCTGTAAAAAAAAATTTAAAATACTTTAATTAAAATGCATCTGGGATTGGCAGGCGGAAGTGACTGACTGCTGTCATTTTATGGAAATAAATGAACTGGGAATTAAACTTAAATTTAGTTGCCTCATTTGAAAATGCACAAGCTGATGCTGAAACAGCGGGGAGAGTTTGAAAATTAATTTAATGAATAAATTAAATGCATGTGAACTTTGCTATCCTTGGCCAACTCTCACAGTTTTTAGTGGCATTGCGTTTTGAGCTCAGCCAAAATGTCATCTTTTGGAATTGACCTTTATTTTTTATTTAGTTAGGAAGGTGCTGGGATGCTATAACAAAGTCAGAGAGTAGAAATGAGTAGTTTGTTTAATTCTCTAGGAACTTCAGGTGGCTATTTTGAAGGACTGGTGTAGTCAAGTCCTTGAATGAGCTGGATTCCTTTTTATTGGAGACAGATCACTGTGATGTAGTGACTATATTTTCCCAGGAGAGATTGTTGTCTTTCAATAAATATGTAGCTTTGAACATTCATTCCTTAATTTATTTTAATTGTGTTCCCTCTAGCATTTCTGGAAATACTTTAACTCTGTGTCTGACCAACCTGTCTCTCACTCCGACTTCATGTCAGTGCTTAGCAATGTTGAGTATGTCCTTATCAAAGCATCGTATGGTCAAGGATTACAGCAAAGCAGGTAAAGAATCCTTTGGACTAATATATTTCATTACATTGACTTGAATTTATCTCAGTAATAGTTATAAACCAAGATGGCATTAAAGGCTTAATTCTAATGAGAGAAACATCATATATTTGAGCGTTACCCTGATTCCTTGGAATTCAGTGCAAACGCACCTAATAGTTTGAATGGAAAAAGACTCCCTTGAACCTCTTCATCTTCTGAGAAGTGCTAAGGGCCTCTGCTGCTCTGAAAAGGTTCATAAAAGGAGTACAATGACTTGCCTACTAAATCACTATCTTGTATGGCAGACATCAGATGGGCTTGCATGTTTCTCCTATAAAGTTTCCTATCATCCTCTTATAGTTATTGGCTTACTCACTGCAGTATCCTTACTTTTACTTTTGAAATTAAAAACAAAATCAAGTGACCTTCATTAAAAATAAATAAAATGGTTTTCATATACAAAATTGCATTTTGGGAACCATCATACATCTGTGAGGCAAGTATAAAAGAGTCCCAACTCAGCATATTGATATTTTACATCCATTTCTTACTCACTTTCAATAAATTTAGATGACTATACAAGTTGCAGAGATGATATTTCATCATGTAGTAGTGATGGACCTTAACCAGGGCACCATATCTAGATACTCTCAAGTTTTGAAGAAATTTAGATGTGCATAAGATCCTACTTTGCGGACAGATCAAACTAAAATCTCTTATCCAAACCACCAAGTTGATCCAACTTTGGGGATCAGCTTTACTTGCTATTGATATTTGTGTTATTTTATTCTCCTCTGAATATGTTTTATAGAATTGCAAATATCTCAATGGAAATAGGAATGAAGGTTGAGGACATGCATTTGGGCAGAGAGAGAGCACATCTCATAGAGCAATGTGAATGTCCACCTGGCTATGCTGGATTTTCGTGTCAGGTATACAGCCACTTAGTAAACAAAACACCTTTCTGTGCCTTTCATTTCTGATAAAACATCTTACAGTTCCTTAAAAGGTTTGAAAAACTGGCTTCATGTATAAAGCTTTATTTATTTCTTATGCGCTATTTCATGTCCTCCTATATCTATAGAGCTGTGCTCTTGGATACTACAGGGAAAAACATGCAGACCTGAATGTAAAAGAGCCACGTCCATTGATAATGCCGTGTGTACCATGTCAGTGCAACAACCATAGTGAGATCTGTGACCTGGAAACAGGAAAATGCCTGGTATGTACAGTTAGTTCCATTAGTATGGTAATTTTTCAGAGCATCTAATGTTAATAGTTGATGAGCTGAAGAAATATTTTCTATGAGGCTGCAGTAGTGTTAGAGTGATGATGTAGCCACGATGGTCCAGGAATTATGCAAGAGGCAAGGATTTTTCTGGGGCAGTGTCTTTTAATGGACCAACTGCTTGGTTGGAATAAAGTTAGACAGGCTTTTGATAGCAAGACAGTCTTCATCAAATTGTAGGAGGCTGTGACACTCCAGTGAAAAAGAGTTATTCAAAATTTTTAAAAAGTTACAGATTTAAAACAGGAAAACATATAAGCAAAGGTATACTGACTGTTCCATCAGCAAAATTACCATGGGTGTGTACAGAAGTGCTTTGTGCATGTTTTGCAGCCCTGTAATTTAGATCACTTTTTATAATACTATGAAGTTACAGCATTCTTAAACATGACATAAATGCAGTGTTTGGGAGGAGGAATGGGGCTCTGAATCTCCCTGCACTTTCCAGACTAGAAGGTAGGGGGCACTTTGAAGCCTCCTGGGGCTTTTCTACTGGTCAGAAATTTGACCAGTGTATAGAAGTTATTTAAAGCGCTGTAGCTTGTTAAAGTGCTGTAAAATACAGCACTTCAAATTGAATACCTCATTTAACAAGGGTTAATTTAAAGTTCTGTACCCATTTTTAAAATGCTGTAACACTGTGCACTTCTGTTAAGTCATGGCCATAAAGCACTTTTAATGGCAAAAAAACCCCTTTTGTCTATACCCCATGTGTCTTAGAGTTTGACCAAGGTTAGAAAAGAAGTAGCAATATTTTACATCTACCCCAGAAATTGTAGGCTAGATGAGAACTGGTTTGACTTGCAATGAAATAAAGAATGTATCTACACTGCTACCTAGGGATGACTTTAGGACTGTTTTCAAATCCCTATAGGATGATTCTGTGATGAAAACAACTCCTTAACAGCTTATGCTTACTTTAAAGTATCCTTTCCACTGCTGTAGAAGGGTCAGACAATCTTTTGAAAGAACTGAAATTTTCTCCATTGCTTTTCAAATTATTACTGTTTGCTTTTTCAAGCTAGCATATTTTCTTTCATTTAGATGTTAAATTCACAGTTTAAGTAATGTTTCTTGGCATCCCTCAGGCTTGTGTCTGAGCACCTCTTTCTTTGCCAGGCCTCTCCTACAGTATGAATCTCAAGGCTTATTTAGGGCTCCCAATCTCATTCTGTTGTTCTTACCATTTATAGATCTGAAGTCTGTTACTCCTATAAATGTCAGGAATTCTTACCCTAAATCTTGTTATAAGGTTATATATAAGTAACCCTGCTGTAAGATCAATGTACATATTTTTATTGTAGAGAATAGAAAATTGTTGTTATTGTTGTTTTTAAACTGTCTGCATTTCTTTGTGTACTAGAACTGCAGAGATAACACAACTGGTGATCATTGTGGTGCTTGTGCCCCAGGCTACTACGGGAAAGTACTTGGATCTGTCCGTGACTGTTCTCTTTGTGCCTGCCCCAGAGCCAACACCATTAGGTAACCAAAAATTTAATTGTGCATTTTATTATTATACTGCTTCTCATGAGCACAACAGCAGCCTCTCATCATCGTATTTCCCTGTGTTTAGAAGTTTTTACATCATCTACTATTTTTATTAGACTTTAGTTAATTTGGGGGCAGAAACTTGTATTCTGAGTTATTTTTGGGAATCTATAGCTTCCTGCAAAGAGGACTGAATGGGCCATGGTTAGGGATATCTCAAATAGACAGGATATGCGTTATTAAGAGTATCTGCTTGGCCTCTTCCTTCCATGGCTCCAGTAAAGCTCTATTCACAACTTAAGGCTGTTCTTCCGCAGCAGAACTTCTAAGGGGGGGGTGACAACAAAGAAAATTCTTGTCTTCAGAGACAAAAAATGCTCTGGTGGACAAGTGATCACACTTTAGAAGTACCATTAGGTATGAATGTGGCCCAATCTTAGACCGTTTAAGCGAGCCCTCTCTTATATTGGATATACCATATCCATTGTTCACTGTGCCCGCCTGGCCTCAAACACCCGCTTGCGCGCTGCCTTGGCACGGGCAGTAAAGGATGTCTGCTCTCTGGCTTTGTGGGTTGCCCGTGATGGGCTTTGGTTGTCCCTCTGGCTTTCCCCGAACTTTCCTGCCATGTCTTTGAATGTTAAGTCAGTGTGGGGTTCAGCTTCGAAGTTCCCCTCAGCGATGACCACTCTGCTTGCGGGATGTTTGTTGGGCTCCACCTCCCCTACACCCCAACCTTACACCAACCTCTGGCAGGACGCCTGGTCTTGAAACAGCCCCCCTTTGATATGGATGTTCCTCACACGTGCTCTGTGGTATCGTCGCTCCTTATTGCCCTAGACGATATCACCCCTGCTCCTTGGGGAAGGATGGTCAGTTACAGCAGGCCCTAGAACCCCCTTGAGCGGGTTGGCTCTATTCCTGGAGCCGGCAGGGGTGCCTCTGTCGGACAGGGGTAAAGAAAACAAAACGAAGAAAAGAAAAAAAAAAAAAAATGCAGGAGAAATCCCATAGGACCTTCCAGTCCAGCATCCTACTGGCTGGCTCTCCAAGCCCTCCTGCCTGTGCTTGGCAGTGCTTCTTCGATGCTGGTCCCTCGGGGTCCCCTTATCCTTTCTGCCCCCAGCCCGGCTCCCTGATTTGGTACCTGGGAGTGATCGTGCAGGGAAACTCCCGGTCCCTCGAGGTCGGCTTCAGCCTCCCCCTCCTTGTCACCGTGCCAGTCGTGCCCTGGTTCGACGGCTCCACCTCCATGCGTCCCCGGCAGTTTTAGGGGTGAGTCACCCCAAAAGCTCCTCCCCTTTTGGGGCTCTATTTCAGTACCCCAGGTGGGGAGATCCCTTGTAGCCTCTGCTGCTGCTCGCTGTCTGGGCGATCCCTGCTTGCGCTGGCTCCACCCTTTGCCGGCGTGGAGAGCCTCTGCCTCCTCACTTGCTCTCTCTTCCCTACTGCTGGCGGCCACTTTTATCCTTGCCCACTGGTGTGTCCTTGTGACGTCACCTGCTGGCCTTAATTGTATAAAGGCGCGGCTTGTGAACCATGTGGGTTTTTCCTTTTGGCATTCCAGCATTGCTCCTCCTGCGGGTAAGTAAAGGTTTTACCTCTCTCTCTCCATTTTGGTGTTTTTTTCTGTGCCGAGCCCCGTGGGCGGGGCTTCCCAGTCCCGCTTCTCGTTATCTCCGGGACATTCACTGTTTTATCACTCAAGCTGAAATATACAAGCTGACTTTAGGATACTACACAGTTTTCAAATAGCAATGAAATTGTGCATATTTTCAAAATATATAAAAATGTCACAGAAGTAACCTAGAGCCACTGTGTCACGGCGGGGTCCTCGCGGAGGGCCGTGTGCTCCTTAAGGTCCCTCGCTCCGTGTCAGGCCAGCCCAAGGCACCCTCTAATTCTCGCCCGCCACGTCTTGTTGGAAT